GATATTCGATCTACAAGGTAATCCGAATCTTATTCCCCTTGTAGTTGATTCAATATCTTATCAGAAGAGGTTCCATATCCTTATAAGAAACGTTTCGTTCCTCGTTTCAACCCATGTGGGATCTAACCCATTAGCTTAAACTTTTAGGTCTAAAGGTAGTTTTAACATGGTGTTCTAGTCATTCCTAAAGCTCGGCCATGTCAACGAATTCCCTGGGTACCAACAATGAAATAGTGAGCCTGAACAGACTCTGGCAATGTGTAACAGCCCAAGCCCACCGCTAGCAGATATTATTCTCTTTGGGCTTTTCCTTCCTAGCTTCCCCTCAAGATTTTAAAACGCGTCTGCTAGGGAGAGGTTTCCACACCCTTAAAAAAAATGCTTCGTTCCCCTCTCCAACCGATGTGCGATCTCACACAGTGTGATTCAGAGAAGAGGAATTGGCATGGATAAGAATAGTGTAGTGGAAATAGTCGGGAAATAGAATGGTCTATTACACCAGTAACAAGAGCTTATCAACAAGAAAGAATTTATCTTTTTAAGATTAAAATAAAATAAAATAAATCCAATAATCCATTCAATAGAATGTTGATTGAATGCTCGACCACTCAGATACTCGCATGACTTGATCGATGATTATTTGAACAAGATAACGAGTATACAAGTAAGAACAACTATGTCCCAAAAGCAAAGTCATAAATGCCTACAAGTGACCAAAACTATGATAAATATCATAAATCTATCACCCACAGATTAAACAAGTAAACAAGGGACCATTAATATGTATGGAAATAAAAATTTGATACATGATTACCATGCTCTGTGAAACTAGGGTCAATTTTTTCATGATTCAAAAGTGTTTCCACGACTTCTTTTCGGTTCATATCAAGCTGAAGGCATCGCTCTATAAGACTTCGCACCTAAAATAAAAACATAAATAGCTGGATGAGATTAGTCACCTTAAAATCGAAACATAAGCACGACATTTTTCATTCTAAGCTATTTCACTTCTCTAATATTTTTTTGTCATGTTCATGAAACAATATTCTTTTAGATAAAATAAAGATCAAATTCTCTTGTTTTCCAACAAATGTGAGAGTTTCGGGATGTCCATTACGTCACTGATAGACACGGACAACTTGCCTAGAAAGATTATTCAAGCTTCACAACATACATGGCTGACAAAACGTTTCAGCGTAATTTCAACTTTGAGTGGCTAAATGTAGCATAGATTGGCATGTACAGGCACAAATATCTCATATGACAACACCAACAACACGATCCCGAAAGGAAATTAAGGAATTTGTTTCATTAGCCTATAAAGTCAATTCATCTAACCTCACAAGTTCCTCAAGATCATGGACAAACTATTTATGATGGTCTAGAACTTCTCTGTCATCTATTTCTACAACTAATATTCAGTTATCTAGCTTTTGAGCATCAGTTTCTTTTCATCCAATTCCCTGGGATCTCTTGGGTTGGAAAAGAGACGAGGAATAATGAGCAATTTAGAACGAATGTGCGGGTCATGAAGTGTCTGTAAGTTCAAAAACCAGCTTACCAGTTGAATATCTTGACGTGAGACCCGTCTAGCAGTTCCGCTTGACATGTTTCCAAATCCAGTGCATAAGAATTGAATTGTTCAATCAACTGGCAGATCGTATTCGCCTCAAATATTCCACCCTCGCATCTAGTAAACAACCATAAACAACTAAGAATCTTACACCAAACGAACGAGAAGTAGATCGATACATACATCAAAAGCAGTCAAGAAAGCCTTATTTATACAGGAAACTTTAGTATTTAAACCCTTTTACGAAATTCGTGTTTCCTAATGACGGGGAAAACCATTAAAATTTCCAATTTTTGAGCCATCTCTTTAGTTTATTAAGGAACATAAGAAAGAACACAATTTAAAGAATTGGGCAACAGAAAAAGATTGTAGCAACTAGCATACACTTTGAAGTACTCACAATACACCTTTACATGAAGAAGTCACATTTAGATCACAACAATTGATACTCATGTAGTTTATAAGAATTAAACAATAGTGATGTAGTTTAATCACAAAATGTTAAGCAGCATTTTATTAAACAAATAAAGATCCCAATCCCAAACAGATATCCAATTAAAAAAAACAAAACAAGTAGCAAGAAACGGCGGCAACAAGGTGATGTCAGAACTGCTGAAACAAACCGGATAAACATTACAAATTATACCCTAATCTTAACATTTAATGTCACAATCAGCCCTCGACACCACTCCAGCTAACAATTCAACACCAATCACAGCCAAAAAAAAAGCCATTACAAGCTACAGTTCCCACGCAAGAACACGAACAGAAAGATCGCCCGAGGAGGAGCCAATTTCATCCAATCCCAATTCACACAAACGGGATAAAATCCAGAACAGAACGAAACCCTAACAAAAACGCACCATTGGAAAGCTTAATTATGTCTTTCTTATCTCTCAGCACTCTCGAAGGCATAAAATATGCAGACAATCAAAATTCAAGGAATCGAAAACGCCCAAAAAGGAAAAAGAGTAGAGAAAACAAGCAAAATTCATCGAAGTTACCAGTTAGTAGGTCGATTCCAAGAGAAGTGGAGATCTTCGCAGCAAAAAAATGGGAATATTTATCATCCTAGAGAGAGAAAGAGGTGAGAAGCAGGAATTTTCGCTTTACATTGTGGAAGAGAAGAGGGCGAGCTAAAGGAGCACTGTGCGATCAACAACTGTGTAAGAATTTTCCCGGCTTCCAGATATTTATACCAGTGGTAATTTTGTAATTTTTGGCTAACTGTATTTTTTAGTTATCGGTTTTTATTGGAATTAATTTGGAAAATCTGAGAATAGTGCCACGTGGGCAGTTGATGAAGGTTCTATGGGGCCCACAAAGGCCGGATCAAATTGGTATTGGTACCATTATCTTCCTTCTCCACCGGTTGATATGATTCCATAAAGTTTTAATTTTTTTTTACTGTGCCAGGTGTCTTCCTATAAATCAAAATTTACCTCTAAATTTAAATCAATTTTTATTAAATTAGTAAATTTATAGAGTTTTTTTTTTTTTTTTTTTTTTTTTTTTTTTTTTTTTTTTTTTTTTTTTTTTTTTTTTTTTTTTTT